ACCACAAATGCCAAATATGAAGAAATTGAAGATTTTTACCAACTTCTGCAGTCTGAAATTGATCAAACATGCAATCAAGATATATTGATAATTACTGGTTATTAGAATGAGAAAGTTGGGAACAAAGAAGAAAGATAGGTAGCTGGAGAATATGGCCTTGGTGATAGCAATGACACTGGAGATAGCATGATAGAATTTTGCAAGACCAATGACTTAGTAATTGGAAATAACTTTTACAACAATATAAATGATGAATATACACATGGACCTCACCAGACAGAATACACAATTCACAGTATTCAAATAGACTACATCTGTGGAAAGAGACAATGGAGAAGCTCAATATTATCAGTCAGAACAAAGCCAGGGGCCAACTGAGGAACAGACCATATGCAAGTTCAAGTTGAAGCTGCAGAAAATTAAAACAATTCACAAGAGCCAAAGTACTACCTTGAGTATATTCCATCTGAATTTAGAGGCCATCTCAAGAACAGATTTTATCACTAAGGAAAAGGAAGACAAGGAGAAGTGCACAAGAGGTACAGACAATAAAGGTAAATACAATCACATACATAATACTGTGTTATCAATAGTACCAAACACTAATCTACGGATCATAATGTCATTAAGGTAATGGACCAGTATGATGTTTTGTGTAATGTCAAGATGATCTATGTATCTCTGGGCTATCTTATGACAGAGAGGAAAAATGATGTAATTCTGAGATAATACTATGAAGTTTACCTGCCAGGTAGAAGCAAACTACTTCTGGTAATCCTTATCAATTGGTGTGGAGCAGGAAGCATACCAAGTGCCAAGAGTTATGTTGATTTGTTTCATAACAAAATGGGGCAGAGGCTTCGATTGGAATTACCATCTGATTAAGTTTATGATACTCCTGGTCGTTCACTAAGATCTATCTGACTTCTGCACAGGCCTTCTGCCACCATCATTCTAATCTAAGCTACTGTCAGTTTCTCTTTGCAATGGTCTCCTAACAAGTCTTCCCACATTCCCTTGCCCCCTTTAACCAGTTCACCCATAATTAATATACTTCATTGGCTCTTAAAATAAAGACTGAAATCCTTAACCTCTTGGAAAGTTTCTCTTTGGCCTCAACCCCAGGTTCACTGACCTTCATTTCAGGGCTCAGATGTGCCACAAGACACAGGCTTTTGTCATTTGCTTTCTCTGCTAGGGTTGCTCTTTCTTTTCCTGTTAACTCTTCCTCCCCCTTCATCTCCTTGCCCTCTCCTTTCTAATATGCACTCACTAACTTGTTATTTCTCTTTGGTAGCACTTATTGCAGTTGAAGTATTTACTTTCTTCCTGTGATTGTTTGATTAATGTCTGCCTTCCCAACCAGATTCTAAGTTCCAAAAGAGCAGAGAGGAACTGTTTCCTTTGTTTTCAGCACTAGAAAAATTCTTGATACTTGGGAGTAAATTACTAATATTTGTGGAGAACAAGGTGTAGAGTTAAGTCTCTGTTCTCTATATATTTTTTTTCATAAATAATTTTACACTCTCTCAAGTTGATAACAATAGATGCTGTTGCCTTAAAGGTTGGAAACCACTTCTCAGAACTCTGTGTCCTTTGTGAGTAACATCACAAAGCTTGCTTACATCACTGCTGTGAGCTGAGGGTCTAGCCTACATATTTTGAATTAGTATTTTTTATTTTTGGTGAAAATATACACAACAAAGCGTATACCCATTTAACAAATTTTTCCATGTACAGTTCATTGACAGTGGTTACATACTTCACATTGTATCACCCTTCTCCCAATTTCTAGATACCTGGGTCTTGTAATGAAACAATGGCTTTCAAGACAATAGTCTGGCATAGATTCACCAAAGTGTACTTAAAAGTTTGAATTAAATCAAATATTTGACTCTTTAAAATATATATCCTGTTATAATTGTTCTGAGTAGATCTGGTGGCACAGTGGTTAAAGCACTTGGCTGCTAACCAAAATATTGGTGGTTCAAACCCATATGGGAGAAAGATGAGGCAATCTGCTTCCATAAAGATTTACATCCTTAGAAATGCTATGGGGCAGTTCGACTCTGTCCTATAGAGTTGACATTATTGGAGTAGACCTGATGGCAGTAGGTTCGATGGTTGTTCCCTTAGAGTGACAGGATTTTAGTGATTTCTACTGTGTTTTTGTCTGTAGATTCTACATTTTTGACAATAATCATGTTTTCTTTTATAAGAAATATAACAAAAGCTTTTTATAAATGAAGAGATACTCCCAGGAATTTAGGCCTTTAAAACTCTAAGGGTTTATTTATTTGGCTTTTTTCAATTTTTATTTTTTTGGTGCCCTAATTACCTCACAGAGACCCTGGCTAGTGCTAACAGTTAACATGCTGGGCTGCTAACCATAACATTGATGGTTCAACTCTACCTAGAGGCACCTCAGAGGAAAGGTCTGAAGAGCTGCTTCTGAGAAATGAGCCATTCAGACACACTTGGAGTCACAGGAGTGCAAATCAGCTCGACAGACAACTGGAACTCATAACGATGTAACAGTGAGTAGTCATTTTAGGAAAAGGGAAGTGTGATAGTTGGAACTGTGTGTCAACTTGACTGGACCACAATTCTGTGTGGTTTAAGCAGTTGTGATGTGGTTATTCCCATGATGGGATCAGATGGTATGTTTTGAGCAGCCAGTCCATTCACGGGGAGTTTCCCTAGGGCTGTGGCCTGCTTCCAGTATAATTATGGACATCTTGCGAAGGGAGACACTCTTCTATGGATTGGGATTCTGTTGTGCTGCCTACAACTGTCCATGAGCGAACAATCCACCATTCGGCCTGGAGATCTTGGATTCATCATTCGTTGGAGTCAACAGCCACTATACTGTCTGCCAACCTTGAGCTCCTCAGCCCCTGCAGCTGCGTGAGTTGGGAAAAGCCTCTGTCTTGACATTTGATCCAAGAACTTGGGACTTGCCAGCTTCTATAAGTATGTGAGCCACTTCCCTAAGATGAATTTCTCTTTATATATATAGGCACTTGACTGCTAACCAGAAGGCTGGCGATTCAAACCCACCAGCCACTTCTCGGAAGAAAGATGGGGCAATCGCTATAAGTCAGGTCCAACTCGACAGCATGTAACAACAACATATATATATATATGTGTGTGTGTGTGTGTGTGTGTGTGTATGTATGTATTAGGAGCTCTGGTAGCATAGTGGCTAAAAGCACTTGACTGCTAACCAGAAGGCTGGCGGTTCAAACCCACCAGCCACTCCTTGGAAGGAAGGTTAGGCAATCCTACTTCCGTAGTGATACTGCCTCGGAAACCCAAGGAGGGGTCGCTATGAGTCGGGGCCGACTCGACGGCACATAACAACAACAACAACATATATATATGTATGTATGTATGTATGTATATGTGTATGTGTATATATGTATGTATAAGCTTTACTGGTTTTGTTTCTCCAGAGAACCCAGTCTAACACAGGGGGTTACAGGTGGGGTTGTAGGTGCAAAGCAGTTAAAAGGGAGAGAGGAGATGTGAGCCTCTCTTTCTCAAGCCAAGGGATCACCAGTGTGGTAGGCCCTGGCCCAGCTGACTTCAGGGTGAGGCTGTGGCTCCTGTAAAACCTTAAAGGATAGTGTCTTTTTCTTTAAAATAGGATTTTATTAGCGTTATTACAGGCATTGCATTACATAGGAAAAATCCATAGAACTGAACATTGAGCTGATAAATTATAGCAGAAATAGAATCACCTGGAATTTCAAACAAGAACTGAAAGTCCACCTTGCAAAATGATAAAAAGAAAATCTCTTTTTATGTCTTAATAAAGAGATAGTTCTTAAGCAGCAGAACATTTAAAATATTAAAATCTGGCCAGTCACCTTCCCATCATGCTTGAGCATTGCAGTGTTTACTGTTGGCCATGCCAGATAGGTCCTGATTTTTTTTAAAAAAGCTTAACTTAAGAATTTCGTATGTCTATCTTAGTATTTTACGTCCCTAGTTTTTATTCTCCTGAATCTTGACTTTCATAAAAATGTTAATAAAACAATTGTAAAAGCCAGTATCTTGAGCACATGGGGTCAGTGAGATGCCCAACTTCTACCCTGCTGGACTCTTTGGATCAGGGAAGAGCTGTGCGGATGATTTCTTCTCGGCATAGCCTCAGAGGGGCTGTGGAGATGGGCTGGGCTTTGGTGTGGTGTGAAGGCTGAACTGGGGCCACATACCCCCTCTCTCAGAACTCCAGAAGACTTCCTGACTGTAACTTACACCAGAGGATGAAAGTGTCTTGGATTTCTGGGCTGTGGTTAGAGATAAGACAGACAAGGCCAAGACAGGACTGAGGGCTGTAGTCCTTTGGTTTAAGGCATCTTTGAGTAAAGAAAGTGTGGAGGGCTGAGTGCCCGTGTGTGGGTGGTGGACAAGGGAGAGTGAGACTGAGAAGGAGCTTGTTGGGATGGCAAGAGCTCAAGAGGCCTGAGACCGTCTCACTCAGCTCCTCCTTTGCAAGTGAGGAGAATGAAGGCCAGAAAAGGGACTGTGTAACCTGCTTAGGGCCACATGGCTAGTTGATGGCAGAGTTGGGACAAGAGCCTGAGCCTCAGTGCCAACCTGCTGCTCTTTGTATCAAGAGGAAAGGAAGGCCCAACAATTCTGGGTGCTGGGAGCCCTGGGCAGTTGTGACTGCCCTGACTGTCATGGATCAAGCAGGCTGGGTAGCTTCCCCACCCTCAGGAACCGCCCCCCCCCCACCAGCTGTCATTGGTGGGGGGAGGGGTAGTATTAAATTCTACCTGTGGGATAGGTCTGAGTTGGGACAACTCTCAGAGTTTATCTGGGTCCAAGCAAGACACCCTCCTCTCCATACCCCACCCCTCACCCAGGCAGGAGCTTGTGAGTCAGGAATTCCAGAACCAGAGCTGGGCTTCCTTCCCCTTACACGTGCAGGCCCTGCCCCATCTCTCTGCCCTTTACCCACACTCACCTGCCACAGCTTTGAGTTCTCGTCAGAAGTGAGGGCTGAGGACACACTGGAGAGGGCTGAGCGTGATTGCACATGCCCCAAGGGCCTGTCCATAAGAAAACATTAGGGCTGGAGGCCTTGGGACCCTCAGTAACCCTCTCCCCACTCTCAGCTCCCAGGAGGATATGAAGCTCCTCTGGGAAGGGGCAGTTTTCACTCCACATGCTTCCTGGTGGGCACTTTTGCTGTGACCCTTGTTCATAGACCCTTCAGGCCACTTCCTAGACCCACAGGCCTTTTAGGTTTGGAGCCTGAATGGGTGGGGTTCTTGCCTCAGAACTCCCACTTTGCACCCTGCCTCCCTGCCAAGCACACATTGGACAGTGCACACATCCTCGTCAAACCACACTCATGTATCAAGCCACGCTTCTTAAGGCTTTCCCCTCCCTTATTAAATGTTTCCATTCTTTTGTGACTTTTTCTTTACCCCTTTAAGACTGCCTTTTCTATATTAAGACAGTGTTGAGGAGCACCTCCAAGCTCTGGGCCTCCATATCTGGGAATACTCTGAACCCAGGGGATCAGGGCTTCTAAAGATCATGGGCCAGAGAGGGTAGGGGCCCAGGGAGCGAGAAAAGTCCTAGGGTCGGATGGGAGGGGTAGGTGTACCTGGCAGGTGGTGTGGGCATCCCAGCCCCTGGACACTAGGGTCAGCAGCTGGGGTGTGTGCTGCCTCACAAATTTTTCACACTGAGGAGAGAGACAGACACACAGATGTGGGGAGGACTCAAGCCCATTCCAGGAGTCTCCTGCCTTGTGGCCCTGGCCTCCCCACTTATCTGGATTACCCAGGGCTCCCTCTCTTGACCCTATGTGTACGTCCAACCATCAGCCCCATTGCCTGGCCCTGGCTGTAGGTAAGACTCTGAGCTGAGCTGTCAAAGGAGCATGATAGTGGCTTTCCAGAACCTTCTGTTAAGGATTCTAAGACAATGTGATAGAGTGCTGGGATCAATTAGCGATGCCTGGTGTGGATGTGAGAAGAGTATCATCAGTATATGTGTCATATATTTGCCCTCTGTGTTCTAGATAATAACTTATAAAACAAGTAGAACACAATTGACAACATAAAGTGTTCAGGTGCTAAGGGTAGAGGTGCTGAGTGGATGGGTACTGGGAATTCTGAGACCAGAAAGAGACCATGGTCTGGAGCAGTCAGGGAAAACTTCATGTAGGCAGGCGATTGGATTGGGCTGGAAGAAGCAGCAGGGTTTGCATGGTGGCAAGGAAGAGCACTGTCGATGCTCAAAGGTGTGAGTGAGCTGGAGTGGCTACAATGGAGGGTTGCTATTGGAACAGCTGAGACACTGCAGATGGGAGTGGGTGGGGCTTGAAACCCAGGCAGAGGGAAGAATCTTAGTCACCCTTCCGCCCTAGAATTTCAGTGCTGGAAGGAACTTTAAGGTTCACCAGGTCTTTAAGAGCTGACATGATGGGCAATGAGAAGCCCCGAATGATCTTGAGCAGGAGAGTCCTGTGCAGTGAGGTGCATTTTAGGAAAACAATCATAGGCTGGACTCAGAGTACGATCTGAATTGATGCAAGAGATTTAGCATGATCAACTCTGAACAGTGGGAGGGACCCTAGGACCTTGAACTCAGCCCTCTTCTTTTGCAAGTAGCTTGTCCCAAGTGAGTCACACCATGAGAAACATCTGGGCTAGGACAAGACGGGGACTCTGGACAGAAGGCCAGGCCCTCTTACAGCTCCAGTGGGCCTTGACATTATTCATCTCCTGGTTGAAAACCATGTCCATGAGGACTCACCTTGGTCTTTCTTGCTCCGTGTGGAAGGTCTGCTGATAATGAAACCACACTCCTTTGTCCAGAGGCAACTCTTGACTCTTACTGTGTTTTGCACTAGATTACAGTCCTACTGTTGTCTGCCCCATGTCCTGTCTGTAAGCTTCTTGGAGGCGGGACCCAACCCACCCTGTGTATCTCCTTCTGGGAAGCCTTTTCCAGGCTCCACACTCTATCCGAACCCCCATGTGCATGCCCAGTACCTTTTGCCTGTCCAGCCAGCTGCCATGACAGGCCTGGAGTATCGCCTGTGGGGTGGCCGGCTCTGTGCTATTTCTGGCATAAGTGGTCACAGACATGCAGAGGGGACACTCGGAGTCTTGTGGCAGCCATTCTCCTGGTGAGGACTCCAGCACAGTGAGGGCTACAGAGAAAGTGGTCAAAATAGCCTTGTCCTCATTGGTGCATTGCAGAGGGTCCGAGAAAAGGAGAGGGTCGTGCAGGTCCAGAGGCGGGGGATGAAGAGAGTGGACAGTGGGCAGTGGCTGAGGGATAGCCGGCTCACCTGAGTCAAAGCTGTTCACACTGGAGCACCGGAGGATGAGGCCGCAGACCAGCTGGGGCAGCGTGTGGCTCAACAGGGCATCCAGCAGGATGACAGTGTAGCGTTCGGCCAGGCACTGACAAATGCCACCCACCACCAGGGGCACCACGTGGCATACTTGGGCCACAGCCACGGCCAGCACACCCTGGGGTGAGGGCAGACAGAGGGCAAGGTAGGACCTTACCTTGGCCAGGAGTTAGCTGGGCCATTTTGTAGATATTTCTGTGTCCCCCTCCATGAGGTGGAATTATGCTCTTTTACAGATAAGGAAACTGAAGGCTACAGAGTCCAATGACTTCCCTGGAGTCACTAAGCAAGTGCAGAAGCTGGGCCATAGACCCAAGCAGGCAGTCTGACTCAGAGGCTATGCAATGCTTCCTTGACTCTGGAGTCACTGAAAGAGGCAGATCCAGCCTAGCCTCCTTACACTGCACCCAGAAAGACAGGTGTCACCAAGGCCACAGAGCCATGGGTACAGCCAGAACTGGGTCCTGTGTCTCCTACCTTCTGATCCAGACTTGTTCAACCTCCCTATAGGTGAGCTCCTAGCTGTGAAGTCCCTGGGTAGTGCAAACAATTGGCAGACATGCTACTAACTGAAAGATTGGAGGTTTGAGCCCACCCAGACATGCATTGGAAGAAAGGCCTGCTCATCTGCTTCTGACAAATAAGCTATTGAAAATCCCACGGAGCACGTCTACTTTGACACATATGAGTTGGAATTGACTCCACAGCAACTTTTTTTTTTGTTTTGTTTGTTTATTGGTTTATGGCTCCTGAAGCCAGTGTGCTCCTGGTCTCAGGAGGCCCCTCAGGGAAGCCAAGGTTTCCCCACCTGGCCCTGATTCCAAAAACAACCTCTGAGCTGAAGGGCAAGAGAGAAGTGGAAAGCACACTGATTGATTCACAAATTTGTTCACTCAATCCGTTTGCTTAGGTCCTCAGAACCTACCACACAGGCTGGTGTTGGCCCTACTCCTGCTTGTAGCCCTTGGGCTGCCCTGCAATGCCAAGGAGGTTGAGGTAGGAGTTAGGCATAGGGAAGCATATTTCTCTGGGGTGTGATGTTACCCCAAATAAACTCATCTACTTTCACAGGAACCCATGCTCTGCCTCCCCTGCTACTAAGCTGAATGAAGGATCCGTACTCTTTTATCCCCTTGTGCCCAGTCCTGTCTGCTGCTGCTACCGTCATCTGCACAAGTGCTTCACTCATGGTGATCACCTCTCTCCCCTGCCTCATGATTTCCTCCCTTCTACCCATCAGTCCCACCGACCTGTAAACATGCTGAAATAGCTTCTATTGTTAAAACACTTCATTCATCTCTGCTACCCTTTCAGAAAAACTTTTTGAAAGATTTGTTGATACTTGCTACTCTCTTTCTTCCCTTCCCATTGTGTCCTTAGCCCACTACATTTGGGCTCCTGTCCCCACCACTTCTATAAAACAGGCCTCATCAAGGTTACCAACAACTTCTGTGCTCCCAGACCCATGGGCATGTCTTCTCTTGCCTCATCTCTTAGTAGCTTTCAGGCCAATGACTATTCCCTTCTTGGGACACTTTCTTCTCTTGGCTTCCATGACACCATGCCATGGCTTCCCTCCACTTCACTGGCTGCTCCTCTTCAGTCTCTTTCTTTGGTGTTTCCTCTGCTTGACTGGTATTGGCTGATGTGCTCCGGGGATGCTCTGGGCCTCCTTCTCCATCCTTGTCACATTCTGTCCCTGGATGACCTTACCCACTCCCATGCATTTAGATGGTAGGATGGTGGTTAAGTCCTCAGCTGCTAATGGAAAGTTTAGATGTTCGAATGCACCAGGTGCTCCACAGGAAAGGTGTGGTAGTCTGCATCCTTAAAGATTTACAGCCTTGGAAACTCTATGGAGCAGTTCTATTCTGCCCTGCAGGGTCACCATGAGTTGGAATTGACTCAATAACAATGGGTTTGGATTTTTTATATCCATTGAAAATGTTAAGGAGCAGAGTTCCACTCTGATACAATGGGATTGCCATGAGTCAGAATCCATTTGATAACAACTCATTGGTTATAGCTATTGACTCTCAAATTGATATTTCTTGACCAGACCTCTCCCCCCAAGTATTTAACTCCTTCCTTGACATCCCCTCTTGCATGTCACATGGGCATCTCAAACTTCACATAGGCAGTAGAGAACTCTTCATTTTTCTACCTATACCTGTTTCTTCCCAAGTTTACCTATTTGATTTGGTGGCATTATCAAAGAGCTGATTGCTCAAGCCACAATGCATAACATTATCATGTGTTCCTCTCTTGGCCTCACTCCCCATTCGTCATCAAGTTCAGTTGAGCCACCTTCCAAACATATTCTCAGTCCTCCCACCTAGCTTCATTTCCCCTATCACCACCTTCTTTCATTTTGATTGTTGCAGTAATCTTCCAATTAATCTCCTTGCTTCCATTCTTGCCTCCCACCTGTCCAATCTATTCTTCAGGCATTAAGGAAGTGATCATTCTAAAGTGTAAATCACAGCAGTCTTTCCTCTGGTTGAAACATTTTCCATAGCCATTAATAACATTCAGAATAAAATCCAATGTTTCTTAATTTGCCTTACAAATTTCTCCAAGGCCCAGCCCTCTCTGGTCTCTCCTCTGACCATTGTGCCCCCGGCCCACCTGTTCTGGCCGTGCTGGCTTTCTCTGTTCCTCAAGTTTGCCAAGCTCATTCTTGACCTAGGCCCTTTGTATATTGGGGCCTTATTGTTCTCTAGGTCTCTAACTGTCACCACCTCAGAGACTCTCTCTAATCAACACTGTTTGATTTCCAGTCACTGTCATCACCTTATTCTGTTTTAATGCTTTGCTCCATGCTCTTCACTATTTGAAAAGTCTTTCCCCATGTACAGGGTCAAAAGCAAAAAACCAAACTCACTGCCGTCAAGTCAGATCCAACTCATAGCGACCCCGCCTTGGGTTTCCAAGGCAGTATCACTACAGAAGTAGATTGTCCAGTCTTCTTTCTGAGGAGTGGCTGGTGGATTTGAACCACCAGCCTTCTGGTTAGCAGTCAAATGCCTTAGGCACTAGGCTACCAGAGCTCCAATTTATAGGGTAAGCTTGGTGAAAGCAGGTACCTTGTCTGCCGCTGGGAGCCCTCAGTGACTAGCTGGCCTGTGGGACGCCATTTGGGAAGGGCTGATGGAGCAGGGCCTTTCCTTATCTCAGCCCCATTTCAGGGCAGAGCATCCCTGGACTGATGAGCCATTAGATGAGACAGTCACTAAAGGTCTGGAAGACTCCAATTTGGATATGGGCAGGAGTGGGAGGTCCATCTGTGGAAATTCTTTTGAAATTAAAACAACTTTTCTACAGGAACAACTGGGGATTCTTCCCCATCAGATAGTGGACTCCTGGAGGGCAAGACTGGGTCTTATCCAGTTTTATACTTTGACATCTAGCTTAGTGCATGACATATACCAAAAAGAACCCCAAACTCATTGCCATAGAGTCAATTCTGATTCATAGGGACCCTATAGGACAGAATAGAACTTCCTTATAGGGTTTCCAAGGCTGAAATCTTTGCAGAAGTAGACTGCTCTCTTTCTTTTCCCCTTGGAGAAGCTGGTGGATTCAAACCGTCCACCTTTCACGTTAGCAGCCTAGCCCTCAATCACTGTGCCACCAGGGCTCCTTTCCCGGCATATACCAAAGCCAAACCCACTGCTATTAAGTCTATTCCTCCTTTGATGTCATCAGCTGAACGTTTTAACCACTTTATCACCAGGGTTTCTGTGCCTGGTATATAGTAGAGGCTCTGGTAGTGCAGTAGTTAAGCACTCTGCTGCTAACTGAGAGGTCGATGGTTCAAACCTACCAGCCTCTCACTGGGAGAAAGGTGTGGCAGTCTGCTTCTTTAAAGATTTATAACCTTGGAAACCCTATGGGACAGTTCTACGCTGTCCTATAGGGTCACTGCAAGTGAGAATTGACTTGAGAGCAATGGGATGGTAGTAATATTCATTGAATAAATATTCAACAAGGCACCTACCAGGCTGAAGCCTTGGAGTCCCATGGGTGGAGGCTCTGCATAAGTAGCTACCTCCTAATTGCTAGCAGCCAGTGGGTGTGGGGGTGTATGGGGAAGGTGCAGCTGCTGGAACCCTGCTGAGCTCCATGTCACCCTGGACGTCTCACCTTGGGAATCATAGCTTGGACCCGCTTGATCAAAGTCCTGCAGAGCCAGCAGAAGGGTAGAGGGATGGGAAACCGCTGCTCAGAGAGACCCTGGGGAGAGATCATGGGTGGAGGTGAGAGTGGGGCTGGGAGAAGGTATCTGATGGGCATCCTCCCACTCTGCCTCCCCTGCTTCCTCTCTTCCCCACTCCTGCCTCAGGCATGTCCTGGAAATACTCATCTCCTTCCCTGCTCTGCCTCTCCAGTCTTCTTTCTCCTACTACCCAGCCTTTAGTTGGAACCCTGGTGTCTTGGCCATGTCTCTGACCTCTACTGATCCCTCCTCTCCCACGGACTGGGCTCCTGGGGCCCAAGTGCTCATGAACCTTGTTTGGGGCCCTAGCCTTCTTGATCCTCACTATCTAGTGTGAGGGACTGTTGGCTTTGCAGGGGCCTTCCTCACCTGTGTATAAGGCCCAGCCCCCCTCTGGAGGGTCCCGGACAGCATGGGGAGGACTGGATTGTCCAGTAGAGGATCCGGAAGCCCTGGGTCCTTCCCTGGCTCAGGATGCCTGGGTTTGCACAGGCTCAGGTGCTCACAGATGGTCTTTGGGTTCTAGGGTATAATGCAGAGGTTTGGATGAAAGACAGCTGAAGGAAGAAGGGGAAGGGACCCCACTCCTGCTTAGACTGGCCTCAAAGATTCAGGGACTAGAGCCCTTGTTTTTGGATCTGAAAATATTGGAAGCTGCGTGTGTAGGAGAGCTGTGGTTTAGAGCTCATGGGGGTTGGGGAGACCAAAGGAAGAGAGGGGGCTTTGTGGGGACTTTGAGGTTGGTGTCTGTGAATATATGTGAATGAATGTGAGCTTGTATGTCTATGACAATGAATGAGTATAAGCATGTATGTGTTTGTACACATGAGTATTATGATATGAGTATTGGATAATACCAACCAAAAAAAAAAAAAAAAAGCTGAACACACTGCTGTGGAGTCAGATCTGACTCACAGCGACCCCTCCTTGGGTTTCTGAGGTGGTTTCACTAGGGAAGTAGATCACCCAATCTTCCTTCTGAGGAGTGGCTGGTGGGTTTGAACCACCACCCTTCTGGTTAGCAGTCAAATGCCTTAGGCACTACACCACCAAAGCTATTGATAATATAGGTATGTAATAATATGATAGGGAGCTCTGGTAGCATAGTGCCTAAGGCACTTGACTGTTAACCAGAAGGCTGGCGGTTCAAACCCACCAGCCACTCCTGGGAAGGAAGGTTGGGCAATCTACTTCCGTAGTGATACTGCCTCGGAAACCCAAGGAGGGGTTGCGATGAGTCGGGGCCAACTCGACAGCACAAAACAACAACAACAATAATATGATACGAGTGTGCAGGTATGGGTTTTATGTATGGTGTGTACAGGGTGGAATGTATGTCTATCAGTGTGTATGAGTATCTGATACATGTACAGCTGAGCAGGTGGAGATCTGCCCTGGGTGCCTGGCTGAGGGACACTTGGTTTCCTGGTCATGATGTGGGCAGTGTCTCTCTGTGTGTGGCAGAGGTAGGGTGTTGTGTGGGAGGCCATGTCCTGAGAGGGCAAGATTCCACAGCCCTCACGATCTGGCTCTGGAAATAGTCGATGACCAGTGGAAAATAGTTGTCGAGCATGTGGTGGCACTGGGGCACGAACAGCTTCACGGGGAGGACGTCACACTGTTGCTCCAGGAACTTCTTTATGGAGTCCTGGGAGGTGGGGTGGGGAAGCAGAGGAGAGGGACAGGGAGGAAGATGGGAGAACATGGTCAGCCCACCTTCTCTGGTGTCTGTTCCTGCCTGAGTCTTGGGTGCAAGGCCCTTGCCAGGTAGACTGACCACCCTTTCCCCAAGACACTAGAATTCAGAGAGCATTAAGGGATTAAGGAGTTGAGCACATGTAGGGCACCCTGGAGACACCATTTCTGGCTGTGGTGCTGTACTTAACCCGAAGGGCCTCTCTTGACCAGGAGGATTGTGGTTCAGGAGGCAAACCTGGGCCTCACCCTGGGCCAGGAAGTGGCAGCTTTTGAGGGCTAACCCTTATCCCTACTTTGTCTTGGTCCCCAAGCCTCACCCAGGATCTGGGATTCATCACCTGGAAAATGGCCTCCTTGGTCATCTTGGTGAGGATGCGGACGATGTCCTCACACTCCTGGCACAGGTCATCCTTGGAAGGGGGCCCGAGGTGGGGGCACATGAGTGGGAAGCATGCTCACAGCACCAGCTTACATGGGTAAGCCCCTCTCAGCAGAGGCTGAAGGGCACTTCAAAGCATAGGTAGCTGCCTGCCATCCCATCCCATCCCATCATGTCCTGTCCTGCCCCATCCCACCTCATCCTTTCCCATCCTTTCCTGTCCTATTCCATCTCATCCCATCTCAGCTCATCCCATCCCATGCCTCAGGCCCATCGAGAGCCCACCTAGTACCCTCCATCCAGACCCCAGTCCCTGTGCATCCTTGATTGGTACTCACAGCTCCCACATGTCCCCAGACTTCCCGTAGGCAGTGCCCCAGGCCTCCACACTGCAATGCTTGCTCCAGGCTTTGGCACCAGAACTCAGGGCCCTGGGCACAGGCCAGGGGTGAGGAGGTCCAGACAGCTGCTGCTTGGGGCCAAAGCAGCCTTCTCAATCTAGATCCAGGCCACCCCCAGAACTCTAACCTCACTAAACCCTCCAACCCAACTTTATAGATAACTGCGATGCATGGCTGTTAAACCTGCTGGAGCCAGATACCTCTGGGTTCTACCTTCTCCAGTATCCACAAGCCGTATGACCTGGGGCAAGCCCTGGAGCCTCTCTGAGCCTCAGCTTCCTCATCGTTAAATTAGGGATAAGTGCAGACTTGGGAGTAATGCCTGGCATAGAGCCAGCAGTCAGTAAGTGGTGGAGATGGCTATGGTGCCCCTCTGTCTCAGGTGGGAGTGAGGTGAGGAGAGGCTGGAGAGACTCACCAGTGCCTGGGCCACAGAGTGTGGGCAGCAGCAGCAGCCACAGCAGCAGGTGTGACTTGGCCATGATACCTCCACAGCCTGGGTGCTGCCTGGGGCAGGGGCCTTTATAGCTGGGGGTGGGGGTGTTGGGCAGGGCTCCGTGGGAGCAGCAGCCACTTCAGTGTTTGCCTTTGCCCTGGAGAGCCCTCCAGGGGCTTTGATCCCACCTCTTCCCAGCAGTGACTCTCTTGCCTCCCTCCCCCCTCCATCTCCTGACTGATTCCCTGTTCCTGTTCCCTTTGCCCCCTGTCCTAACTGTCGTGGGCCCGGACTTCTGACCCCCTCCAATCTAGGTGCTTCTGAACCTCCACCTCTGGTCCTGTCTCACTCCTTAGTGTGAGAGGGAAGCTGGGGCAGGGCAGGGGCAAGCCAGAGTGCTCCCTTCCCACCGCTCAACTCAGGACTCCTGGGCCTCCTCCACTCTTGAGCAATGCTCTTAAGAGCTTCCTGCCTGGCTATTGACCCAGGGAAAGGACCGGAACTGCAAAACTAGGACCCTCATGGGGCCACCTATCTCCTACCCCCTCCTCACCTTTTCCCTGAAAAATCTCCTTTTTAGCATCACTCGGAAAACTATTATACAAAAACAGAGAAAACAAAATATTCCAAGAACCTGAGACAAGGATGTGGGGCTGAGATTCCTGTGGCCCCACAGTGGCTCTTAGCTCTGTCCAGATGCTTCTTTTCAGCCCTGGGGGCACAGCGGATAGTTCAGCCCTACTACCAGGGCTGGATAAAGCAACCCTTTTCTGCAGCTGCCATGCTCCAAGGCCAGGCCCCCACAGGACAGGGCACCCTGGGGAACAAGCCTCCTGCCTGACCCCAGCCATAGGCAGACATCCTAGTGAGTGGAGGGAACAAAACATTAGCTCACATGGAAATTAGTTTATTTGAGCCTAGGAGAGGCCCACAGACTGCTATAATCCAGGAAGCACTCCAATTCTCACGGGGTGGACAGGGCAGGAATTATTACCGTGGTGAAAAAATTGGACACAGGATGGTTAAGCAACACACTTGTGGTCACATAGGGGTTCGTGGAGTTTCCGTTGACCCCAAGCCCTTGTCAGTATGACAAACAGTTGCCCTAGTGGGAGTTGACAAAGAATGCCTATAAATGTCTGACCAAAGATTGGGAACTCAATCAATTACATACCACCTCAAAAAGGTGGAACTGGAATGTGTTTGTAATTTAGTAAGTGGAAAACAGGTTAGCCTAATTGTATTTGACTTGGATACAATTAGGACTGACTGGTCAGGAGAATTTGTGGATGGCTGCAGTCAAGAGAGGAACCCTGGTAGTGTAGTGCTAAAGTGCTTAGCGGCTGAAAGGTCAGTAGTTCAAACCCACCAGCTGCTCTGTGGGAGAAAGATGTGACAGCCTGCTTCCGTAAAGATTACAATCTTGGAAACCCTGTGGGGCAGTTCTACTCTGTCCTGTAGGGTTGCTATGAGTTGGAATCAACTCGAAGGCAATGGGTTGGGTTGGGTTTTGGCAGTCAAGAGCATATTGGCCGGGGTATTTTAATCTCTGTGTGTTAGTTTCCTAGTACTGCTATAGCAGAAATAACACAAGTGGGTGGCATTAAAGAACACACATTTATTTTCTCACAGTTTTGGAGGCTAAAAGTCCAAATCAGGATCAGGGTCATGTCAATTTCTTCCTAGTAGTTGATCCTTATGTGGCATCTTTCTCCCCTCTGTATCTCTATGTCTAATCTATTCTTTTTATAATTGAGAAGTGATTAGATGTAGAACCCACACTACTCAGATATGACTGAGTTAATTTATCAAAGAAAACCCTATTGCCAAACAGGATTAAATCTGCAGGTATAGGGATTAGGATTCCAGCACATATTTTGGGGAACACAATTTAATCCATAGTGCTCTGTGATGATGTCAAATCTTAGTGGCTCAACACAACAAATGTTGACTTCTCTCTCATGTCACAGTGCAGACCAGGCTGGCTCCAGATGGGGAGGCTCTGGTCCATATAGTCATCAAGGGACTCAAGCTCCTCCTTCTACCAGCTCTGACATCTCCCAGGACTAAGAATCCTCCTCTGGAACCTCTGAGTCTGGCTGGCAGAGGATGGAAGACAAAGAATCATAGATAGTGAGGGAGACAGAAGGGATCAGGCCTGGGGATAGTTGTTGTTGTTGTTATGTGCTATCGAGTCGATCCCTCCTTGGGTTGCTGAGGCAGTATCACTATAGAAGTAGATTGCCCATCCTCCTTCCAAGGAGTAGCAGGGCGGTAGTTGGTATTCATTATTTCTGCTCTCAGTTCATTGGCCAGAACTCAGTATGTGTCCCCACTGAAACACTAGAAAGCTTGGGAAATGTAGTCTTGTTTGCTCAGGAAGAAAGGGAAATATAATTGGTGAACACATAGCATTGTCTCAAATTCATAACATTGAATGCAAAACTATGTATTTATGTGTGGTTTTCTAGGTAGAGGGCCCATGATTTCCATCAGATCTTTGATGGGAATTTGTATCTGCAAACTGCTAAGAACTGCCATTTTAGAGTATAAATAAGGAAACAAAAAGTGAGACACTTGGAGGGCTGCCCTGGTCTTGGCCAGGAAGAGGGTGTACTCACTCAAGGTCACTGTGGTGAGCAATCCCCTAACTCTTCTTGCTCCGATGCCATCCTTGCAACATAGTTTATGATTAAAATTTGGCTTTTGTGGGGCATGGTCAGCCAGCACTGGTCTGCCTATATAGGCAGGCTGTCCTTCCGGCCCATTTATTTCTCACTGTAAATGAGTAAAGAAACATCTTTAGGAAAAGTATAAAAGAAACCTTTTGGTAGCTGCTCCAGCAGCTGAAAGCTTGGTTAATTTGAGGTCGTTCACAAGGCATGGCTCTCCTATAAGCGTGTAGACAATTTGACATTTCCAAGGACTAGTTCTTATGACCAAGCACACAATACAGGCATTCTGCTTAGCATTGCACCTACAGCACACCATATATCTGTACTGTACAAGTCTGCTTTTTCTTGTCCCCCTCAGCCCTGTCCAGAAAGCTGACATCCCTACATTCCTGGAAAGAGAAGTGTGATGCTGTGAATTACTTAATACAGTCCTTCTAGCCATAGTCTTTGTGACTCTCACCCAATGATTGGGTGGGACTATGCAAATAAGGTGCTTTTGGTCCACCAAGGGGAGGACAGCTTGCTGCTAATGCAAATGCACACATACATATACACCTGCCCCAAAGTTCCCACAAAGCCCCATCTCTGCCTTTGGTCTCCCTAACCCCCATGAGCCACCCACCCAGCTCCCCTTATTTCCAGATTCAAAGACAAGGGCCCTAGTCTCTGAACTGTTGGGGCCAGTCTGAGCAGGAGTGGGATCCCCTCCCCTTCTTTCTTTAGCTGTCCTTCATCCAAACCTCTGCATTATATATAATCTGTGATGGTTAAGGTTGTGTGCAAGTTGTCTGGGCCATGATTTTTCAGTGGGTTGGCATTTATGGAATGATGTAATTTAGCAGTTATGTAATGATATAATTCTCTTCCATTTTGTGATCTGATGTACTTTTCCTCCATTTTGTGATGTTATAAATCCTAGCCTCTATGCCTGTAGTTATGATCCCACTTGGGAGTGAGTTGTCTGTTTTGTTAGTGAGGCAAGATTAGGGTGAGATGTGTCTTAAGCCACTGTCTTATTAGTCACCACCCTTATCCCAGTCACCAACCTTACCACCCTTCTTCAAGTCACATCTTTGTACCACTTTGCTCAAGTGAGCAGAATTTCTTGACAATATGGTCTGCATCCAATATATATGAATGCTCTGGCAAATTTCTCTCTTACTCTGGATCTTACATCTGGCCCGTCATCGTCTGACCTCTGGTTCTTGGAATTTGAGCCAGTAGCCTATCATCTGACCTGATTCACCAGTTTTTGAAGTCTTGTGAGCCAGCAGCCTGTCATTAGACCTGTCCCTTTGGGTTTGTCAGCCCCCGCAACATAAGTCATAAGAAGCCTCCAGTCAGGCGCCTGACCCACAGATTTGGGACTTGCCAGCCTCCACAAACGTATGAGCCATTTCCTTGATGGTTCATGAATTCTGTGAGAGATTTCAGTGAAATATGGAACCCAAAGAGAGGATAGAGAGTAATGAGGGGAGAAGTAGTAGCTGATGTTAGAGATGATGGAGTGGTACAACAGTTTGGAAATTTGGACATTTGGTACATCTTTAACCACTGCCTGATAGGAACCAGCTTATTCTGATCCTTCTAAAAGAGATCATTCATTTAGGAAGACCCACAGACCATCTCCTTCCACCCCCCTGGCTAAAGCTGATTGGACCAGGGGCAGACACTTGATGCAAAGAGAGTACATCCACAGGCTGCATTGAGCCAATTGCATGAGAGCCAAAGTCCAGTTAATGGTGCATGAGAAACAAGGTTCTTGACCACTTAATGCAAAGTCCCCTGGAGCTGTTCTTTTTCACTGTCTGCCAGGGGCCTGACAGGGCCATTTTCCTGGATCCCCATGATATTTCATCAGGCCTTGAACTTGTGACATGATAGATATTACTGTAGAATGTGCACCAACTCAGCCTAGCAAAGAGAATCTCATTACTGCCAACTCAGTGCCCTACTTCATACACCCTTGGCCATGTAGATCCTATTTCTGTAAAACCAGTTCTTAGACCAGGTATAGGGGCACGAAACTGGCAGAGAAGTACAGGCTCTGAGAGGTGGAAGAGACAAGGAAGGGTTGAAGAGAAGGTTAAATCAGTCTACTTAAAAAGTAGCAGTAGAGAGAGAGAAAGCATGAGAGAGAGTGAAACAGGCTGAGCTAGAGGTGAAGAAAAGTTTTGATTTTATTTTTGGTTGTGCAAATCTGAGGCTCCAATGTATGGGATCAGTGAAGTGTTGTCACACACTATACGTTAACCTTTATTTTATATCCTTTGAGAGATGCAAGGTGTATGAGAGCTTAAATTCTAAAGCACTTGGTTTGTGGAAGGCTGTGGTCTACAGCAGGAGCCCTGTCACCATTTTGAGTCTTGAC